ACGTTGTCAACGTTGTCAACGTTGGGCTTCCCCTGCCAGCAAGGACCCAGGGCTCCAGGTGAGACGACCCCCCAAGGCGCCAACGTTGTCAACGTTGGGCCTCCCTCCCTCTGCCAGCGAGGACCCAGGGCTCCAGGTGAGGCACCTCCCCAATACGCCAACGTTGTCAACGTTGTCAACGTTGTCAGCGCTGGGCCCCCCCCTCCTGCCAGCGGAGGACCCAGGTCTCCAGGTGAGGCGACTCCCCACGGGGCCAACGTTGTCAACGTCGTCAACGTTGGGCCCCCCCTCTGCCAGCGAAGACCCAGGGCTCCAGGTTGGGCGTCCCTCCAAGGCGCCAACGTTGTCAACGTTGTCAACGTTGTAAACGCTGGGCCCTCCCCCCTCTCCTTGCAGAGGACCCGGAACTCCCAGGCCGGGAGCTCCCGGAGCTCCCGGAGCTCCGAGTCCGGAGCTCCCGGAATTCCCTTTCAGGGACTGAGGCTTGCTTGCGTCAATGTGTTGGTCAGCCTCACGCGTGGGGACTGAGGCTTGCTTGCGTCAGACAGGCGCCCCCCCCCCCAAGGGGCTAACGTTGTCAACGTTGTCAACGTTGACAACGTTAGCCCCTTGGGGTTGGGGGGCCAACTGTCTGACGCAAGCAAACCTCAGTCCCTAAGAGGGAACTCCGGGAACTCCGGATCTGGAGCTCCGGGAGCTCCCGGGAGCTTCCGGAGCTCCCGGCCCGGGAGCTCGGGTCCTCCGCTGGCAGGAGGGGGGAGGGCCCGACGTTGACGACGTTGACAACGTTGACAACGTTGGCGCCCTGGGGGGGGGGCGCCCGACCTGACGCTCTGGGTCCTCGCTGGCAGGGGGGGGCCTCAACGTTGACAACGCTGACAACGTTGACAACGTTGGCGCCAAGGGGGGGCGCCCAACCTGGAGCCCCGGGTCCTCGCTGGCAGGAGGGGCGGGGCCCAACGTTGACAACGTTGACAACGTTGACAACGTTGGCGCCTTGGCCGGGCGCCCAACTTGGAGCCTTGGGTTCTCGCTGGCAGGGGGGGGGCCCAACGTTGACAACGTTGACAACGTGGGGGGGCGCTTGATCAATCTGGAGCCCGCGCTCCTCGCTGGCAGGAGGGGGGGGGGCCAACGTTGACAACGTTGACAACGTTGGCGCCTTGGGGGAGCGCCCAACCTGGAGCCCTGGGTCCTCGCTGGCAGGGAGGGGGGGGGAGGCGGGGGGCAACGTTGACAACGTTGACAACGTTGGCGCCTTGGGGGGGAGGGGAGGGGGGCGCCTCCCCTACAGCCCTGGGATCCCGCTGGCAGCGGGGGAGGAAGGAGGGAGGCCCAGCGTTGACAACGTTGACAACGTTGACAACGTTGACGCGCTACGGGATGGGAGTGACGCCGTGGCGAGTGTCCAAATGCCTCAAAGCGCACAGCGTCCCTTTCTCGAGAGTCCCTTTCTCTCGTGGCCCCACAGGGGGGCTTCGCCTGCGGTCACGCTGGGCGCCGACGTGTGGCGTCGCCGCGCCCATTTCGGCACGCCCCTCGCACGCTTCGTGGCCCCGTGGACAGATCCGTCTACGGTCTCACTGGGCGCCGACGTGTGGCCGCGCCGCGCCCGTCTCGGCATCCCTCTCACACATTTTGTCGTCCCGTCAGGGGGCGGAACCCACGGCCTCAGTGGGTGCCGACGCATGGCGGCGCTGCAGGTACGGCGGCGCCGCGCGTATTCCGGCTCGCCTCGTGCACGTTCTGTGGCCCCAGTGGGAGCTGCACCAGAGGCCCCAATGGACATGTCCGCGTGGCGGGCGCCCCCCCGCCTACCTCAGCACTCCGCTCACGCGTTTCGTGGCCCCACACGGGTCCCCACCCGCGCCCCCAGTGGGCGCCGACGTGTGGCACCTCCACCGCCCATACTTTGGCACGCCCCTCACACGCTTCGTGGCCCCGCAGGGTGCTGCGGCTACGGTCTCAGTGGGCGCCGACGCATGGCACTGCCGCGCCCAATGTCGGTCGGAACAGCTCTCAAACGTTTCGCGCCCCTGAGGGAGCGGCACCTACGGCCCGAGTGGCAGGGCCCGCAAGGCGCCGCCGCCCATGTCGCAACACCGCTCGCAAGGATGGTGGCTCCATATGGAGCTCAACCTACGGCCCCAGTGGCAGGGTCAGCATGGCGGCGCCGCCCATTTTGGTGCACCCATCACAAGGACCTTTTTTACGGGGGCAACGCGCTGAGGCCAGTGCGATGTGCTACACATGCATATAGGATCGCGCCCGACAAGCACGAGACAAGCAGCGGAACTGTGGGCAGGAAAAGCACGAATGCGCGACTACTAACCAAGCAACTGGAGACGCGTGCAATGCGGGCTGGAGAAAAATCAATCATATCACGCGTGGACAACTACTGCGGCAACCTAGACGGTCGCCGCCTGGATCTAGCACGAGCGGAATAAAACCAAGATGCCAGGGGCAGGGGACGGGAGAGAACGAGGGGGCAGCAGGAGGGGCGGAGAGGAGAGGGGAGCACCGAAACGAGTCAAAGCGCGCCCACGCCTGCCGCCTGCATGGCAGCCAGCAGCTCGCGTGAGGTCCCAAATGGCTGACCGAACCCACTACGCACCGCACGGCGTCAAGCAGCATCTGCGCGGCCCGCGCAACTACGAGGCAAGGTCACGAGGACCATCAGGACGCAAATGACGAGCATTGACTGACACGCGAAGGTGCAAAGGAAACGCAGGATGCCGTATAATGGTCAAGAGCTCACGCCATAAAATTGTTTGGTGCTCCGCGCGGCTTTCCTGGATCTGCGATGGAACCCCCCTCCCTGGCGCGCGGGGTGCGCCAGGGGCGGCGCAGGAGGCGCCGCCGGGGGAGCCCAGCGCGGATCCGAGAAATCCACGCGGAGCGCCAAACAATCAGGCTCATGGCGCTTCTCTTCTTCGATGGACGCCGCAGAAGAGGACGAGAGAGCACGGCCCACCACTAGCAGCCAGCGCGGGCGCGTCGACGCCACCCCAGCAGCGCGGGGAGAGCCCTCACGGGGCAGCCCGCGGCACGCAGCACACACCCGCTGCTGCCCGAGAGGAGGCAAGGAACACGGCTGGCCACAAACGGCGCCAGCGCCAGGACACCGACGCCGCCCCCGCAGCGCGGATCGCCCCTGCGGGGCGCCGTCGTCGGGCGCGCACCCGGTCACCTGCTACCTACCAGACCACCCCAACCCAACCCGAAGACCCAGATTTCAGGTTGGGTGGGGGTACGGGTTCCACACGTGCTTTTTCGATGTTCCCCGACGCCCCCCCACTGGTAGTGGAGGGCGAATTGGGGTGGTCTGGTGGGTGGTTCGTCACCGAGACCCGCCGCTGCAGCAAACACAAATAACTTAGCGACTCGTGCTGCTTACCGGTCTCCGCCTTGAGCATGTCCGAAGTCCTTGGCTGCTGCTTCATGCTCTGCTGCAGCTGTGGCCATGCTCTCCAGCGTGGCTTTGGCCTGCTTCCAAGTGTCCTTGTTCGTCTCGGCCCACTAGTGAAAGTCGTCGGGCTCGAGATCGTATTCTGCCAGGAGGGCTTGTGCGCTCTGTCCCTCCACTGGTGCTCCATGTTCCGGTACTGTTGTTGGGGCTTGCCGACCTGCGCCTTCGCGGTGTTGAAATCACCGTCTGCCTTTTGGACGGACGAGGTGTGCTCGAGGAGCTTTCGCTCGCAGTCGGCCAGGCACTGATTGGTATGCTCGACAGTCTCCGCAACATTGCTCTGGAGCTTCTGGGCCTTGTCCAACTTTCTGGCGGCTGCCTCCAATGCTCGTGGCGCGACCAGCGGTGCAGCTGCTGGCTGCTGACCTGCCGCCAGTGCAAGCTAGACTACCTCAGAGCTTGCCCTACGTGGGTCGTCCTTGCCAAGGGCTGCGCACTTCTTGGCTGCAAGCCCTGCCAAGTCCACATCCCTGGTGGGTGGGCTGCCTCTTTCATTCCAACCATCTGCCCACTTGACCGCCTTGAGTGTCTCTCGCCCATCACTGTCCGTCATCCCTGTGGAGGCGGAGTCCTGGTGGGACCAGCATGGCCAGCCATGCTTGACAATGGCACCGGTCTTCCATGCTGGTAATGGTACTGCAAAGCCTCTATCGCCCACAGCCGTACACCACGTAGTTGCTGCGAGGAGGGTGCAAATTCGTCTGAAAGGCTGGTAGCTCGAAGTATTTGGCCGTTGGTGTACCCAATATCCAAGAATGGCAGAGATTCGAGAGACAGGCGCAGCCGATCCGGGAGATCGTAATCTGCCCTCCTCTGGCCCAGCGGCCAAGTCCGCCAGTCGTGCCCGCCCCGCCGCCTTCTCGCCCCGACGCGATTTGGCCGCGCGCGCCCGACGCCCGAGTGAGAGCTGACCTCGGTCCTGACAGCACTGGGGCTGCTTGCCCCCAGACTGGTCATCTTGAGCCAAAATGGCTACGGGAAGAGGAGGAGGAAGAGGAGGAGGAGGAGGAGGAGGAGGATGAGGAGGAGGAGGAGGAGGAGGAGGAAGGGGAGGAGGAGGATGAGGAAGAGAAGGAGGAGGAGGAGGAGGCACCGAGCGTAGCAGAAGGAGGGGTAAGGTAATTAAGGAGAGGACAGGGCCGATGCCGACGCCAACGACAACGTCAACGCTGGCGACTAGGACAAAGACGACGTCGAGTACGACGACGCCGACGACGAGGACGACGAGAACGACGAGAACGACGCCGTCGACGTCGAAGAGGACAACGAGAACGACGGCGCAGACGTCGACGAGAACGACGTGGACGTCGAGGACGACAACGAGCACGACGTCGCCGTCGTCGAGGACGACGACGATGGCGCCAGGAGGAGGAGGAGGAGGACACGCCCGGAGAAGGAGGAGGAGGAGGAGGAGGAGGAGGACGAGGAGGAGGAGGATGAGGAGGAGGGGGAGGAGGGAGGAGGAGGGCGGCGAAGGAGGAGGAGGATGAGGAGGAGGATGAGGAGGAGGAGAAGGCGGATCTCGTCGCGCCTGTGCCGCTGGCGCTCCCTGGGGCTCGTCCGCGGCGGCGTCGGCGAACGCCGGCGGCACTGGCCGCAAGGCCCTGGCGCCGAGGCCCGGGACCGGGGCGTCGTCGCCGAAGCTGTGCTGCATTTCCTGAGCTCGCCATCGCTCCTCCTCCTCCTCCTCCTCCTCCTCCTTCGCCGCCCTCCTCCTCCTCCCTCCTCCTCCTCCTCCTCCTCCTCCTTCCTCTCCCCTCTCCCCGCCCTCCTCCCCCTCCCCCTCCTCCTCCTCCTCCTCCTCCTCCTCCTCCTCCTTCTCCTCCTCCTCCTCCTTCTCCTCCCCCTCACCCCCCTTCCTCCTCCTCCTCCTCCTCCTCCTCCTCCTCCTCCTATCCTCACCCCCCTCCTCCTCCTCCTCCTCCTGCTCCTCCTCCTCCTCCTCCTCCTGATTCCTGATTCCTGATTCCTGGTTCCTCCTCCTCCTCCTCCGCCTCCTCCTTCTGATTCTTGACTCCTAATTCCTGATTCCTCCTCCTCCTCCTCCTCATCCTCCTCCTCCTCTTCCTCCTCCTCGGATGTTTTTCCCCCATGCATGTTACGGCTTCGTGTGCTTCTTTCTCCGCAGAATGATCTAAGAGGCTCCTAGATGGCCGTCGCAGCGAAAACATGCACCCGTCCGAGCGACGCCAAGTGAGAGGAATTCGAAAGCTCTGGGCGGCTGTTGGCCGATGGTGGCCCCGGGGCCGTCAGAAACGACTCAGGATGAAAGGCTGGCCCCGCGAAACGTGTCCCAAACATGCTCGCGTCGTGAGAAACTCGGCGGCCAGAGGTCGTTTGCCGTTTCCGGCCCCTGGGGGGGCCTCTCGCCAGGCCCTGGGACCGTCGAAAAAAAAAAACGGCCGAGGACGAGAGACGGGCCCCGGGGAAGATGCCGGGACGCCGGGACTTCGGGGGGGCCCCGTGCCGGGAAAAGTTAGACGTCGCATATCTGGGCGGACTGGAACTTCTTCACCCCGGGCGTGGTCTTCCTTCGGGGGTTTACTGACCCGGGTCAATCAGATCCTGCAGGATCCTGCACCCAGGCCCGGGTCAGTGCACCCCTGGCCCTGCAGGATCCTGCAAGATCCAGCGCTCTGACTGACCCCCGTTTGCATTGACCCCCGCCGCTTGAGCCCCGATTCCTCGACTTCCCCCCTGAGATCCGGGCGTCGCGATTTTTCCACACTGGGCGTTTGCATCCCTGCTTCAGGCCCTGGGGCAATCACAGATCGCTCCAGCTCGAAAATGCAGCAGAGAGGTTGGGTCTGCGACTCCGAGTCGTGGTTTTTCGCTATGCGATCTAGCAAAGGGGGGCCTTCTCGGGCCCTGGGACAATCAAAAATATATTCGAGATGAGAGGGGCCAGGGGAGAATCGAGTCGGAAGCTCCGTGGTCGCGGATAGAAACAATTAAAGGCGGCGCGAACGTACACTTTGGCAGATCCGCGCGTGTTTCTTGGCTCTGCGCTGGGCCCCCAGCCCTTCTTGCGGCGCTTTTGGCGCCGCCACTGGCGCGCTTGGCGCGCCGGAACAGGGGGTCCAACGCAGACCCAAGAGATCCGCGAAAGTTCCCAACCATCCGACGATGTATTTCTTCAATGCGCGGCACCAGAGGTCCCGACCCCTTTCTCTATGGCCAATCTTCGCCCTGGATCCATTTCTCATGTCCCTGTGGCCCGACAATCGGCACTCAGAGGCTGACATCGAGGACAACGCTAGGATCGAAAAGTTCAGATCGTAGGAGATCGGGGCATGAACATGTTGCTCTTCACTCTCCTGCAGGAGCTTGCCCATCGGCGTGCCCTCCTGCGCCAGCTCGGCCTTTGGGGGGGAAGCTCGCGGGACTCCGCCCCTTCGCGCAACGAGAGAGATCACAACGGCGGGCTGTCGGCCATTTTCAGCCTCTGAGGGACCTGGGCCCTGGGGCCTTCGAAAAACTACTCATGATGAAAAGCTGGCCCCTGGGAGCCCTGAGATCCTGGCGTCGCAATCTTTCGCACCGGGCGACTTCGCTGTGTTTCCGGCCGCTGGACCCTCGCGAATCATCCAGATAGTCAAGTGCGGCAGGAATATTGGGTCTAGGGTCCCAGTGCCGGTTTTTATCATGTTGCTATTTTTGCAAGACGTCGGATCTCGAGGAAGGTGTCGAGACCTCTGGGGTTCCACGTTGCGGCCAAGATCGGGAAGTCGGAGGTGTGGGTCTTAGACCAGTTCGCGGGATCGTCCAGATCGGGGAGTCCGGGGGGCCAGCTTCCGCCGACGCAACAAGCTGTTCTAGATACAGCTGCAGACAGTCGAGCAGCAATCCTGCTGCGAGACACAACGATGAATGCAGCAGGAGGCACACTGCCGAGAAATTCGATGTGACTCGTCGGGGGGGAGGGGCTCTGTGGAGCTCTGTGGAACTATGAGTTTCGTGCATGCACCAAGGAGGCCAGCGGTAGCATGGCCCGTGGTAGGCTGAAGGCGCCCATCCCCTCCCGACCCGAGCTGGCGAGATCATCCCCACCCTCCCTCGTACCCTTGATCTCGCTGCGCAGCAGCTCTTGGAGGTGCCGAGAGGCCAGGCCTCTGCCTACCGGGCCAGGCCAGCGGGCCTGGCACGCAGCTGCCATGAGCAGCGCAGCTGCCCAAGCAGACACAGCTTGGCCGAACCGTTCGGTCCAGCATCATCCCGCTCCTCCCCCCCGACTAATCGGGGCACAAACACAGCCACAGCGTGCACAGCAGGGCTCGAGAGGAAAGGGAAGACTGGGAGGCCGCCCTCCTTCCCAGGCCCAGCTCCCGCGGGTTGCTGGTCACCTCAACCACTGCCACTCTAATGCGAGGTCAAGAATGAACAGAAAAACTTTCGGGACCAAGAACCCGCCCGCCCCAGTGCCGCGAGGCACGCGTTGGAGTGTCCTCAGATCCTATGTAGTCTTCAGTCTTCAGGATGGAGCGATCAAGAGACCGGGTCCCAAAATCTAAAAACATGCGGGGCTCTCGGCGAGCATCCAGGGCCCGGGCGCGTCTTCTCGCGAGACTTGCTCGAGCCCATGGGGGCCCCCAAAACAGGCCGAGAGGGCCCCAGTAGGCCCCCAAAACGGTCAAGGAGGGCTCGCGACGAGCGTCCAACGCTCCTGTGGCCCACAGACGCAGGCACGGTGGCGGGATGGGGCGAAGGCCATTTTTACAGACGAGTCCTGGGCGACCCCAGATCACCAGGGGCACGCGTCTCGGCACTACGCGAATCATCGCAGGCAGTGGCGCCGATGCGCCGCGGCCGCCGCAGCCGCCGCCCCTTCCGTCCGAACGCGCACCGCTGCGCTGGCGGTGCAGCCCCGCTCCCCGCGACCCGAGCTCGCGCGCCCGGGCGGGGGATCCACGCGCGCGGCCCCGCGAATCGGTCCGCCAAGGAAGAAGGAGGACGAGGGAGCAGGAGGAGGAGAAGGAGGAGGAGGAGGAGGAGGAGGAGAGAAGGAGGAGGGGGAGGAGGAGGAGGAGGAGGAGGAGGAGGAGGAGCAGGAAGCAGGAGGAGGAGAGGAGGCGTAGGAGGATGAGAGGAGAGGAGGAGAGGAGGAGGAGGAGGAGGAGAAGAAGGAGGAGGAGGAGGAGGAAAGGAGGAGGAGGAGGACCACTGTAAACCCAACACGTATCAACGACATTGCAATACACCCTCCCTCCAAGTTCCCTCTTCATGAGCTCATACATGGCTGAATTTTCTCTGCCGGAAATGCCCCGTTGGAAGACAACTGCTTGAACATCTGGAAGTGTGCCAGAATGGCATCCCTGGGACTTCAACGCCGCGAATCACCGTGACTGATGCGTCCTGACGATCCCGAATCGCGCCACGCTATCATTCGTGGGACTTCAGTACTGCGAATCAGCATGACTATTGCGCCCTGGCATTCCGACATCATGCCGAAACATTATTTCAGGGACGCTAGCTATGACAATCCTAACCATGATAACCATCGACGGTATCGCAAACGCTCGGTGCGAACGTGCGCCGCGCTGAAGCGAAAACCACACTCTGAACAGGACTCGCCCTACATCCCTGAAGCTTTGGCACATGTTTAGGTCGAGTGTGCGCGGCCCAAGGCGAGAGGCGAGAGGCGAGAGGCGAGAGGAGGAGGAGGAGGAGGAGAAGAAGGAGGAGGAGGAGAAGGAGGAAAGGAGGAGGAGGAGGAGGACCACTGTAAACCCAACACGTATCAACGAGCAGCCCTCCGTCCGTGAAGTTCTTGCAGCGGTTCACAGCGAGCGTGCGCGGCGCTGAGGCGAGAACAGCATCTCGAAAGCGAGCCGCCCTCCGTCCGTGAAGCGCTTGCAAAGTTCAAACCTCCAGATAGAGTCGGCCTTGATTGGACAGGACACGCGAGAGGACACAAGACCCTTCCAAGGGCCACATCGCCATGGGAGTGTAAGAAGGCACGTATCGCGAGGCACAGGACACAAAGGTACCCTTGAGCTGACAGGGTCGACCTACTAATCCGGGTCGACTGTAATAAATGGTGAAGGAACATCAGGCGAAACGCCCAGCCCGGCCTTTCGACCGGCCTCGGGGTGCGACAGGGAGGAAGTACTCATGAGGAACAGGAATGGAAGAGGAGGAGAAGGAGGAAAGGATGAGGAGGACGAGGAGGAGGAGGACGAGGACGAGGAGGAGGAGGACCAGGAGGAGGAGGAGGAGGAGCAGAAGGAGCAGGAGAAAGGGAAGGAGGAAACGGACGAGGAGGAGGAATGAACGAATAGACGACTTTGCAGAGGCGTGTCAGCAAGATCCTGTGGTGAGCGCTGGGACTGGGCAGACTTTCCTTGCTCTCGTGACTAACTCGCCTCTAGGGGTCGCGGGGCCGAGAAGGACTTCCCGACGCGCGTGGCATTCGACAAGCTCCAGTTCCCACCCGCTCCTTACCTCGGCTTCAAAGGGCCGAGGCTTTGAAGGCTGGGCACGGCCGTATTGTCGGAGCAATTGGGGGGGCGGGGTCGGGCTCCGACTGGTTCCCCCCTCCCCCCCCCCCGCCCGCCTCCCCACGGAAGACGAGGCGGGGGCAGGCAGATAAGGGCGAGCGGGAGGCACACGAACCCCCCCCAAGGGACCCCAGGCAGACGAGAAGGGAAGCAGGAAAGAGTTGGGAAACCACGGCGCGGAGGGGACAGCCAACAAGGCAGACGACTTCCCCACACACCGATCGAAGCGGACCAAGACAGCACATCCTCGGGGCGTCCTGTGCCCCCCTTCGGACCGACGGGGGAGAGGAACGAAAACGGGTCGCCGACTACCCCTCGGAATACACACGATCGCAAAAATGCTCTTCAAGGGAGCAAGGATCACCGTGGGTCCCCAGTGTCCTTGTCGCCAACAACAACAACAAGCATTTTAAGACTGTGCGCTCCTATATGCTCACGTGCCAATCGATACGTATATCCCAAACCCTCGGTGCCCGCCCTCGTCGTCTTCGATCGTACCCCCTTGGGGTATGTTTTCCTTGCCTGCCACGCGCATTTAGCGCAGCCCCGAAAACAAGGGAAGAGAGGGCGGGTGAAAGGGGGAGAATAATGTGGCACGAGAGAAATAGAAATTAGCACGACGGGGGCATGGAGCAGAAAACAAATTGAAGAACCAGACGGGCAGATCAGGTGGGCAGACTCATAGCGGGCAGGTCAGGAAGGCGGGCCCAGGCGACGACGTCGAACACGCAGGTTGCTGAAGCGTGGGTCCTGCATGAATCGCGAGGATGTCTCGAGCGATAGCGCGATTCCTAAGTAAATCGTAAGAAAGCCAACGCGAGAGCGTGATTCCTGAGCGCCGAGGGCGCATCGCCTGAAAAAGTGCGAGGGAGTCTCACGCGAGAGCGCGATGCGCACATGAATTGCGAAGAAGTCCCGCGCAAAAGCGCCATTTGGGAATAAGTTGTGAAGAAACATAAGGCGGATCCGCTGTTGTTGTTGTTGTTGTTGTTGTTGTTGTTGTTGTTGTTGTTGTTGTTGTTGTATGAATTTTTGATAATTGCTAAGAATAATTATTGTTGGTGGCCCCGGGCCCCCGGTGCACGACCCCCCTCGCCGCGCCTAGGCCGCAGCCATGTTTTCATCATTTTCGTGAGGAAGTCTCCGGCAAAACGGGTTGGTCCGGATCCGGTTGTTTTGTTACGGGCGGTTTTCCCTTGCAAAAAAAAAAGGCAAAGTGGACATTTCTTGTTCTAACATAACCAAACTTCAAGAATCCCTTGCAAAAATAAGGTAAAGTGGACATTCGCGCGCGCAAGACGAAATCCTTCCAAAACCTTAGTTTTCGTAGCGATTTTAACATAAAAACATCAAAAAAAAAAAAAAAACCAATGGTTTTTTCAAAAAAAAAAAAAAAAAAAAAAAAAAAAAAAAAAAAAAAAAAATGTCAAAATTATCATCCCCGTACGCGCTCTTGCGGATTTGTAGGAAAATACACACTTTTTAAAACACTTTCTGTCAAAAACGGGTTTTTGGCGAGCAACTTTTTCACTGGGCTTGTGCCACGTGGGTTTCGCCACAAAACCGGCCTGCGCCACACAGCAGGGCCATCATCCCTGTCAAATAAACCTGCGGTAACACAATATTCCGAAACATCATTAACGTTTTTTTTTTCTTGCTTCGCGTCGCGACGCAACTAAGCGCGCAATACAGCCGAAGTCTTCAAAAACCCCAGTGATCCATGTTGAAAAAGGGGGAAAAGGACCTTAAACTAAGCCTAGCGAGCGTCCAGCAAATTTACCAAACAAGTCACACTGTAACCAAAATCCCCATGCGCCAGTGTAGTAGCCACGGTCGTCCGCATGCCACGAAGTGAAGTGTCCGAA